TTCTAGTTGCGTATTTTTATTGCATTTGGCACAAATATTTGCTCTAAGCAATTTTTCCAAAACAAAAGCTTTTTGAAAGGTCCAAATCAGACTCCTTTTCAATATAATATATTTTATATGTTTAATTTTTGATTATTTTACATTTTTATATATTTTATATTCAGAGGTGATTAACTTTAAAACTTTAAAAATAAATTTGTCCTTGATCTTGTTTTTGGTTATCGTGACAGAAACGTTCAGGAAGGTCAACGGCCTCTTTGGATAACAACATGTTTGCTACCTCCAAGATAAAAGCTGTATATATCGTTTAAACATTTACTTGAAATATATATATAGATAACATTTCAGCGATTGGTAATTTTTATTAGACTATTAACGATAATATTGGGTTGTCCGGAAAATAATGCAGGATTTTGGTATTAAACAAAAAAAAAGAAACTAGTTACTTTAAAGCAATGTTCTTTAATCAAAANGATTAATAAGTGTTGACATTCATACAAATGAGTAATCCTGTAAACGTAAACAGAATATTTTATATAGATTTTTTTTAATGAAAACTTAAAATCCTGCATAATTTTCCGGACAACCCGATAAATGGGTGATTTTATCAATAAAGACACAAAGTAACAATTTATCAATACTTTAGCCACCAACTTTAAGAAAATCCAACACACGTCATATCTTCATTTTGTATAATCTTATAAACTACATAACTTATAAACCATAAGTCTATGGTTTATCAAGCTTTACATAGAAGCAGCCCTGACAGCTCACAATCATTTTTTAATAACAAATCTGAAACAATGCAATCATTTAACTCTACTAAGGATTAATATTTATTAAATATTGTAAAATAATTTCAACATTATAAGAGGGTTTACTAAAAAGGTTAATATACGAGTTTCACAAATGCACAATTAATATACACAATACACAGTTAATACACAAATATGAGATAACTTGTTTTAGCGTTTCCTACATGACAAGAAAGACTTTAAAGCAATTAGGGTACAAGTTTATCTTCTTCTAATTTTGAGGCAAAATCAAAATATCGCTTTGCTCTTTTTATTCTACATATGTAGCTTTTATATCTGTTATTTTTTCTTTTCGCAGTACGAAGACCTTTGTTTCTTCTTTAGTACAATTCGTATGGATAACTCGGGGTTGCAATTTCATCATTACTTACTTATTACTGCTCTTGTTAAAAAGTTTTTATTTTTACATATCTTTGAAGAGTACTAAATTTTACTCTCTGCCAAAGTTGATGAGATCCAACAATATTTGCAACAATATTCATATTAAATCCATTACAGTTCGTGATCCGATTGACCAATTAACTTTTTTCAATTAATTAATATTTATGAAAGGTATTGGTTGAGATTAAAAAATCAGTGTCACGAGCGGGATTCGAACCCACGAAGCCACTGCTCTACCACTTAAGCTATCGTGATTTCGATCCTAACTTCCCTTCCTCGGACACTAACTTCCCATCTCAACTTCACCACTCGCATATTCATATATTCTTATTCAACACTACCTTTTTCTAATAAAAAGATAGTTACTACTCACAGTAAGTTGTTTTCCAATGATCCGGATTTCGAGCTTTTAGCTCATCATCAGTTGTAGAACTCCTTCAACCTGATGATGAGCTAAAAGCTCGAAATCCGGATCGTTGGAAAACAACGTACTGTGAGTAGGAATTATCTTTTTATAAGGATTGAACACCGCACACACTCCACCATTCATCATTTTTATTATCTTTTCCTAATAATTGGACTAATCTCTTTCTTGTTCTTTTCTCTAAAGTCACGATAAACTGCCTCTTACTTCGTATAGCGTTCCTTCATTTCTATAAACAAATAGGTATCCTAATAATGACGCTGCGGTCAGGTAGAAGCGATGAAGATGGGGTGAGTAGATTCACTTTTTGTAAATGACGGTTCTACTCACATTGTTCCACAACGATCCCAAATTTGTACCATTAAACGCTCATCATCAGTTTGAATCTACTTCCCTTCCTTTGTTGAAAACTTGAAACTGTAACACTTTTGTATTCATATTTAAAATGAAATGGCGTTTTGTTTCATTTAGATGATCCTTAAATTCAAAAATTATTTTCGAATTAGGAAAGTGTTCTTTAACTCTCGTTTGATTTTCTCTGTCGCTTTGTCCTATATATTTAATATCGCAATCATTACTTGGGGATTAGGATTCATTACGGGATAATCCCAACTTTGTGCCAAAATTTTCCTGGATAATTTTGAAAAAAAATTCAAATAAATTAAATCTGTCCTTTTTGAGAAGTAGTTCCTTGCTAATGGTTTACATACAAATCAAGTCTTTTACTTGTAGTCATTAAAAATGTATGCACACGCCAACATTATAACGTAAAAGATTAATTTATGTAATATTGTTAGTAATTTAATTTTAGTGAAAAGAACAAGTTATATTTCAAATCATGTCAGTATGATTTTTCAAATTTTGTACTTTTTGACAATTTCAACAGATTTTTCTTGATTTTGATCACGTACGTCGTATCAGCGTCTCCATGCAGTTACAAAGCGTACATCAAACCCGGATCACGGTTCAGAATCGTGAATCGAGGTTTTCCGGATTTCTACGAGGCGGGCGAGTCCTGCACCTGGTACGCGGTGACTCACCCTGATGCCATTCTCCACTTGCGATGTCCTGTCGTAAACCTGGCTCAAGTAAGTGTTGCCGATGTGCCTACTAAACACTTGTTGATTTTTGTTTTTATTAATTTCATTATAAAAAATGCGTTTTAATTTCAGGGCGACTATCTTTTCGTGACGACTGGCAGCTTGAGGGAAGGAATGGACTTCGATCAGAGTTTTGAAGTCCAAGGCAAATCCGTCCTCATAGAATTAGTTTCAAATTCATGGCAAGTAGGGTTTAAATAATTACGAGTTTTAAACGTGCTTAATTAAAGACTAAATTCATTTTTAGGGCGGGAGGCTTATTCCAGTGCGAAATTTGGGCGGATGAACCTGACACTGGAGACGAGGATTGTGACTGCGGATGGAGCTACAGTGTAATGTATTTGTACATTCAATTTACAAAAATAAATTTAAAAAGATTTCAATTCTAATTAAGCGGGTCATTCTTGTACTAATTATGGAGCAATTGATGGATTTTATTGCTTCTTTAGACTGTTATCGTTTCCACGATCATGACTGAAAAAAAACCTACGTATATATTTTATTCTTTCACAGTAATAAACAGATCCAGTTCTCTATATTTTGATTATTGTTACCAATACAGATTAATAGTATATGAAAAAACTAATTGACCTCTCTTATTCTTATAATTTATAATTGATTGTACAGTAACCGCAAACAAAAAAATTGCAAAAATTCTTTTTTTGAAATTTTCTTAATAGATTCCATTTATCAGATTTTATCACGATGTTTTTTTTCCTTGTAAATGGTCGAAATAAGCGTATTAAATTTATGATCAAATTAACAACCTAAAACTCAGCACTTTTTGTGAATTACGTTCTTTTCTGTGCTAAAATAATTAATTGTCATGATTCGTTAAGTTTCTTTTTTTAATCAGCCTTCATGTATATTTAGGAAAATATGTTTTCGGGTCGTCTTTGAACTTCGAAACGCGTTATTGGTAAAAAAATTATCATATAAAAACTCTCGGTATTTCAGGCATTAAATATATTTTTATAGATAAACAATTAGTAATTATTAATTAATAATAAATAATTAAATAAATATTAATTAATAATTAGTAATTCGAGTTCATAAAGTAGAACCAATTTCTTTCAAATGCTTGGTTGAAAAAAAATTTGAAAAAGTAACTGCCGAAACCCGGGATCGAACCAGGGACCTTTAGATCTTCAGTCTAACGCTCTCCCAACTGAGCTATTTCGGCTGACGTACCAGTACTATTTAAAAGTATATACCAGTATACTCTCTTGCAAAGGTTAGCTTGTATTTTAGCGAATGGAAGTTTAATTTCATAAAATTCTGTTGAATTTGTTGCATGGAACTATTTTACTACGGCTTGTTTTTACGAATAATTCTTATTTTGTTCTGCAAAAACCATTGGATATCAATCACAAAACATAAAATAGTAATCTTATAATTTTGCGCTGTCTATCGCTCTTTTTATACAAATTACTTATATATTTAACGTTAATTATAAATATATACTCAAACACAAAAATAACCGAACACTCAATTGTTTTGCTTATTTCATACGTATGTGGTTTTATCGTTATATTAAACCCTACAATACTTAATTAACGTAAACCAAATTAAACGAGATAAAAATTTTACTAGTTTGAATAAAAATTATTTAATTCTGATAGTTTGAGAGAAAATTCATAAAATAATAACTATTTGGGTGAATTTGTGGTTCAAATCGTCACAATTAAATCTTTTTTATGAAAACTCATAATTGTCTGATCTCGATTTATTTGATTTAAATTAAAATAAGTATATGACGATAAAATGCGTACATATAGTTTGAAAGAAAATACGAGTGTCCGGTTTTTTGTCTTCAAGTATATTTATAGCTAATAATATAATAATTGTTTAAATAAACAATTACAACAGTAAAATTGATGTAGGAACAAATTAATTGACACGAAAAACATGTGAAGAGAACTCACACAGTGGTGAACTTCCTATAGAAGGAATAAACCAAAACCTCTCTTTTTTAATTTTCTTCGTCACTACATGGCACAATGAGATCATCGGCGTTTCAGTCAATAGGTAGGATTATCTGGGATGGTTGTGGAATTGAGCTAACGGATCAAGGCATTGGGATGTGTCGAGCGGCATTTATGGAATTTTTCGTATAAGTTTTTGGCTACTTCTGAAACGTAAGGAACATTAAGGTCTCGATGTAGGGTGAAGGTTTCATACATAATAAGGACGGTAAACAATTTTGCTTAGGGCTTTTGATTTGAATCTTTGGTGGCATTGGAAGATGGAATGCTTGGTTGACCCCAAGAGTTCGATACCGTATAACCAGATAGGTTTGAATACCATGGTTTCTATTAAACTTTTATAATTAGTGGAAGTTTGGATTGCCTGTCGAGTAGGTACAAAACGTTCCGAAAATATGAAAAAAAAAACATCTGTGTATGTAACGCTTATGCATAAGGGAAAATAAAAATTACGGTTATAGTTTTGGAGCACGCCAATTTTTGTTTGTATCCAGAGAAGTATTTTGAAACTATTACAACAATGCCGAGGATTTAACATGTTAAAACAGAAAAACATTGAAAGGGAATGTAAATAAATAAATAAAAAAAATAAACAAAGGTGATCTAAATAAAGATCGAAACGTTGGCACAATAAAAATATAAAAAAACGTTTTTCAAAACGTACATACAAGTCAGCATCTCATGATCTCCAAATAATCATTAATTAACGGTCTCTAAATACCACACATTTCTACACGAGAAAAACAAAGACAAAAAAAAAAAAAAGCTCACCGGAGACAAAAATTCAAACGTACGGCTTCCCCCAAATTGCCGCCGGTGATAAATCTTTTTTCAAGGTGAAAAAGATAGAAAGATTCTACAAATCATAAGCAATTTTTTAATTTTTCATAGCTGCAACACCCACCAATCATTCGTGTGATCAGTGTATGGCACCTTTGTCACAATTGTAATAATTAGTATCTATTTATTTTATTTTTTTCACGAGGGTTCACAACAGCAGAGGCCATATAAACCCTCGGGGTGCCGGTGTTTTTGAAAAAAAGCCCATTTGTAAGTATGTCGGGTTCGAATGCAGGGCCGCTGGATACCTGAAACCCGGGACCTTTACCTTACAGTGATGAGCGCCGTGTCAACGCCTAAACCGTTGCGGCCACCGACGCCCCAATTAGTATCTATTAATCACAATATACTTAGTACGCCAATATTTAATGCGCTAGGAAAACGAAGGATTACAATGTATGATATAAAAATTTTAATTTGACACATTGATCTTATAAACTAACGGCACCAGCCCGGCTATTTTCAGACTGTAAAGTTTAAACGTTGTCCATTAAAGATCATTTTCACATTATAATATTTTATCATTTATCTGTGAAAGTTACTTGAACTACGTTATTGGCAAAAAGCCGAAAGAAGTCCGGCGACATCAATCATCACATTAATCAATTCAAAACACTGAATTTTTTTTGCGATTTATAGAACTTAAGCTAACTTTTAACGATAAATTTTCAATTGAAAACAGTTTTAACAAAAGTTATTCATTCAATTTCAATTTTTTAATACAGAACACTAATAAAACATTCCCACCCAATGGAGATTGTTTAACATTAATTTTTGTACTACTATTAAAAAGTCGGGGTAGCACATCCTTTTCATAGGCTTAAAGGAATTATTAATTAGTGTGGAGAAGACAGTTCAATGACAAATTGTCGTACTTCGAAAGGGTGGAGTTGATGCCAGGTTACTAGGCCCGACTAAATGGATGTGGATGATGAAGTATGATGTAAAGATAAAAAAGAACATCTGATATTTTCCGAAAGATCTTGGGTAGTATAGTTTGCATACATTATAGGTGGGGGTGTTTTGTTCAACCATAGAAGTTATTATTTCTTATAGGTTAAAATATTACGGTGTTAATGGTAATTTATTGTTTATAGCGTTAATTATCTCTCGTGGATCCCTCAATGTAGAAATAGGTTTAAAAACTTAATTTAAATTTAAATTAAATGGGAATTTAAAATAAAAAAAGAACGTGGGGAAATGATATTAACGGCCTTTTAGAAAAAGGTAACAATTTATTAAAATAGAAAATAAAATGATATCAACTTATCAACAACACAAATTGGAAAAACTTAATCAAAATAATATGATCCTTTAAAATGAAATCGAGCTAGCTCTATTGTGTCTATTCTAATGTTACAATAAAAATAATAAAATCAACTGACTCCAGTATTTACACAAACGCAAAAAAACAATAACAAAACTTTTTTATGGGAGGCAAATATTGAAGGCTCTTCTTGTTTGCTTTTTCCAATTCTTCTTGCTTTCCTTTCTTTAGCTTCGGCTTGCGTCCAATTTTTCTTTTCGAAAGATCGATCCGATCTGCTGCTTCTCGTCTTTTACATCTCCTTTCCTTCTTTTGTCTGCTTCTCCTACCGGCCAGCGGGAATTTTCAAATTTTATCGTCATATGTTTGAGGCTCGTCAGTTTAAAATAGATAGGGTGTAAAGTAATTCATCGAAGGGTAATGGTATACATTTGCTTTCGGCATGATTGATTTCTTTTTACATTTCTTCAACTTTAATTCTAAAAAAATATGATTTTAAACATTTCTATGGGATAGCGGTATCTGTTTGTGTAAAAATGGTGGCTGGGTTATCAGCATGGCATTTTTATTCGGTAAATATTATTTTCTTTCTTTTCGCACTTGTCTTCTCCTTAGTCTTTTATCATGATTTTGTATGAAACTGTCTCATTACAGTCAGGGTAAAATTTCCCAAAATTGAGTAATGGCGAAAAAAGTACTGGTCAGAAAGCTGTAAAAAATAAAATAGGATTGTGTGGTGATTAGTGACCGCTAATCGATAATTATTCAGAAATCGTGAGATGCGGTCTGGTGTGATGTAGGTTTCAGAAAAACATTTTCTTTATCGTGCCAACGTTTCGATCTTTATTGAGATCATCTTCAGGGCTCAAAGTGTTTGTCTTCTGTGTAATTGTGCCATTCTTGCGTGTGGTGTTGAGAGTGCACTCTCACCCTCACAATCCTGGTAGCCAGGATAAGGTAGCAAGTGGAAGATATGATTTCATTTAGTTCAAAAACCTTACAAAACTGTTGTGATATTTTTCAGGAATACAATAGTGCATAATATTTTATGTTCTAGAGAGCTAGCATGACAGCTCCAACCTTCACTGATGTATGGCCGAGGGTCGATCACGAAAACCAAACAGCTTAATTGGTACAGGCTAACAGTCTAGTACATATCTATGAAGACGTTAAAGGGTGGGTTTATTCAGGCTATTGCGAAAAAGAAGGACGGTATGAAGGACTAGGAAGGGTTGTTCGGATATCAATTGTTTTTGCGACATTTCCTCTTGAGATCTGAGGTGTGATAAAGCTGTAATATGGTTCATCCCAATAATTTCTGTCTGCTATTCTTACTGCTTGGGTCTGATAACGAATGATTTCTGATTCTGTCTACACACCTTCTAATAGCAAGGTTAAAAAAAACAAAATTGTCGGAAACGATCAAACTATAAATCTATTTCATCAGTAAACAATTGCACTTGGGAACAAAGTAAATTCAAAGAGCAGGATGGGCGATTTATGTGAGAAAGATAAAAGCGTTTTGAAAAGATTTGAAGATTATTGAAAGAACAAGGACAAATCTGTAAGCTCACTCCCCCTATATTTAAATACACAAAAAAAGAAATTCTGCAATTTTACAAAGTCTCATGGTTGCAGGATGTCAGCGAATGTATAATCATTTTAAAACTTTCATTGTACCTGGAATTGCAAAATAGGTTCACTCACATCGATACAAATGGTTCATAGATTTTTTTTAAATTTAAAGACAAGGATTGTCGGAGGGGTTGAAGCTGGAGTACACGAATTCCCGTCCATGGCGGCTTTGGTGAACAGGTACGGTTTGTACTGCGGTGCAGTCATCATTGCCAAAAGGGTGGCTATCACTACAGCGCACAGCGTCCTCGGCCGAGATCCCAACGACTACCGGCTGCTGGTCGGTGAACACGACATTTCAACAGGTTATCGATGAAATCCTAAAAGTAAACATCGATCAATAACCTTTTGTTTTGTTTTTTATCATTTTATCAGGCAAGGACACAAATGCTACTAAGCTTCTGGCGATCAGCAAATTCATCCCTCATGAAGATTACTTGAACGGGCACAACGACATTGCTGTCATTATCACAAAGGAAAATATAGTATTTTCCGCCCGAGTAGGTCCGGCTTGCCTTCCGTTCAGTGTGGGTAATCTAGAGAGGAAGTATGTTCAAGCAGTAGGTAAACAAAAATGAATTTTTTAACGTACACCATTTTTCATGTACAATCAAAGAGCTTAAGAAATAAAAAACTAACCTAATGCGAAAAAGTAATCAAGTAAAAAGTAAATTTAGTGACCGTTAGTTAATGATTATTTGGAGATCGTGAGAAGCTGTCTGGTGTGACGTAAGTTTTAGAAAAACGTTTTCTTTATCGTGCCAACGATCTTTATTGAGATCATCTTCAGGGCTTCAGAAACAGACTCTCAACACGACACCCAATAATGACTCATCTACACAGAAAACCAACACTTTGAGCCCCTAACACTTTTTCAATACAGATCGAACGTGGGCACGATGAAGAAAATATTTTTTCTAAAACTTACGTCACATCAGACCGCATCTCATGATCTTCAAATAATTATTTACAGTATATCGAAATAATTTTCAGATTAGAAATCTTTCCGCTAAATATAGTTATTATTTGTTTTGTAGAAATAATATTATTATATTTCATAATTTTCCACTTGAGTTTAAATTAAAGGGATCTAATGGTTCTTAGCTAAATGTTTTAAATTAGAATATGAAGAACCTCCTCTTCCACAAATTCCATTATACAGAGTATTCTTTTCAGTTGACCCAGCTGAATTTCTCTTGAACCAATGATGCTATAAAGAAATTTATACGTGTTTAATATTTTTTTGTCTAGTTTCAACTTTTTATCTTCTTTTGGAGAAAAATTGTACGGGGTACGTCAGTCCCAATTCAACTTAAAAGTTTCAAATACGACCGTATACATCCTTACACATCATTTTAAAGGAACTTCTACGCTGAAAGCAATGGCGCAATCGGATTTTAAATTGGTCAAAAAATGGCAAAGTTATGGCAAAACATTTGGGAAGAAAAGAAAAACACTGTTTTTTTTTAAAACTGTTTTCTATAACATTGTCATTTTTAGATCAATTTACAATCCGATTGCATTTTTGTTTTCACAATAAAAAAATAATTTAAAATTATGTGACATGATGTATATGGTCGTATTTGAAATTTTGATGTTGAACTCGTCCTGAGGTACTTGTATAATTTTTCTTCAAAAAAAGGTGAACATTTGTTGCTAGACAAAAAATATTAAATACGAATTCTCTCAAGAGAAGTTCAGCCGGGCCATCTAAAAAGGACACCCTGAGCTCTTTATCTCTCTGAGCGAGATTTGCATAATACACCCACATATTTCACGCCCACAATCGTATATTTATATGTAGCTAAACTCTTTTCACGTTAATATTGATAATTATAGAATTATAGAAATTACCATCAAGAATATATTTTTCTAAATTGAAAATTATTAGTTTATATTGCCTATCAATTGTATTAAACATTCCCAATTGAATGAATTAACTAAGAGTTCCGTTTCTGTTAAAATTTAAGAGATCTGTTGCATTTCTAGGCTGGGGAATGACAGAGTTCGGAGGTACCATGTCCGACTATCTGCAGAAGACATTCCTTCAGGTGGTCCAGCCATACCACTGCCAAAACGCCTATAACGAGAGATTCTCTGACGCTCAGCACATCTGCACATACTTCGACAGCCAAGATGCTTGCCAGGTAATACGAAATTTTGATTATTGCAGGAAAATAATTGTCCCAACTTTCCTAGGGCGATTCCGGTGGTCCCATTTACTACAGGGATAATAACCGGATGTACCTCGTCGGTGTGATCAGCAACGGGATCGACTGCGGGGGCAAATATCCCGCAATAAACAGCAGGGTTTCTTATTTTCTCAATTGGATTACCTCAGTAGTCCCAAGTAAGTTTCTTATCTAATTTTTAACTCTGCGATGTAAGAAAAATATAAAAATATTTTTCTTTTTCAGATTCTGGGTTTTGTGTGAAATAATAACACTCAATTTGTGTTGTAAATTATTTTTTTAATTAATAATACCAGGTATTCTGTATTAATTCAGGATACTGTTTTTCGAAATACAAAGATAAATTTGATAATCCTGAACTAAATTAGAAGTTTTCTTAACTTTCTTGGAAAACCCTGGAACTGCTTTTATTGCTTGAACAATTTACCGGGAGAACAGGTTACATGATAAAATGATAATACTACTATTTTTAAAAATTGTTTATGTATGCCAATTGTTATCTAGTGATATCAAAAATGCTTCAGATTATAATCTATTAAACTGTATCATCATTGTTACTACACCAATATATTAAATTGTTATATTTACGATCTATTTGCCATAAGCAATTTTTTTTTTTAATAATGAACAAACTAAACCAATCAAGTAGCAAGTATACTTCATCAGATTAAAAATGCTAACATTTCTGGGTGAAGTGTTTCAAATATTTAAGGCTGCAGTTGCCCTGTAAATATGATACAGAAAATCTTTGGATTTTCATGAAAAAGTTGCCGTCGAGGTATTTTTTTGTCGTCTGTTTGATTACTTTCGAGGTCTCCAAGGAAAAAAGGTCGAGTCAAAAGGCAAGAGAACATTGCAAAAGATTACGCATTTACGCGGACTGGGAGGACTCGGCCGCCGGCGACTCAGCACTTCGGACTTAGTTAATGTTTCGCTCGTATTTCGCGAACTTTGATTTAAGTTAGGCCCCTTCTGGGAATTGTGATAATGCTCCCTGTCTTGGTGAAGTATGGATTTTTATACCAGAATGAATTTTCAAGAAGGGCCAAAGTTTGATGTAAAACGGAATGGCCTTGTTCGACTACCTTCAGTTCCAGCTCTCTTTCTTTTTTGCAAAACTAACAACAATTTTTCAAGTCACCATGTTGTTTTTAAATATTAACATATAACAACGTTTTTCTTTCTGAAAATTCTATTTTAGACAATAAAATAATTTCGGTTGTTCAGGAGTGTTTGACGGTGGGTGTCGGCAACGAAGGGCCACTGCTGTACATTTTTTTTCTCTCTTTTATCAATTAAAAGTGAATTCGAACCTAATATCGCTAGCATACTCTTTTTGAGACAGTGTAATGCCAAAATTATTATAATCTTTATCGGTATGACGAGAAATTTAAATAATTTGTCGATTGGAAACCTATATTTCTTAAATTTTGAATTGTTTCTCTGTAGCCTGTGGAATTGTTTTAACTTCATTCATTTACGTCTACAACTGTACATGTATTATATACAACCAGCAGATTGGATTTCAATTTGTTAGTGTGACATTACCGGCGTTATAGAGGAAGCTACCCGATTGACAGCCGCTCTGGATTAATCATTCAAGAGGTCTGTGACCCCGTATTATCTTCAATCGTCTAGGAGACAATTGTAGGGAATGGAGTAATTGTGCAATTGTGTGCTGCTGTGATTAAAATATAGTTGATATGTGAAGATCTCTCTGAAGTGAGTTGGTATTTACGTTTTTTTTAAATTAATTTATTTATTTATTTGTAGGCTATACACACTTGTACATAATGCAAATGTGATCACAATTATATTGTTCACCGCTCGGTCACAGCACTAACACTGATGCCAGCTCTGCACCCGGAATACGCATGCCATGAGAAGCCAGCCAGTGCTGGCACTCATTTTAATGGATTAAGGGGCAAGGAGGTCTCGGGGCCATCGTCGTTTTAGGCGACGGGGTGGAATCTCGGGATGGGACTATGTGGAGAGGGCTCTAGCGGTAGAGTTAAGGTGGATCGATAGGTTGGTATGAAAGTTTTGAAATCGGGAATGGATCAGTTCGTGGACAAAAGAACGTTGAGGTCTTTGTGGATAGTGAGGTTGGAGACGTAAAAAGGAGCTTTGACTGAGGACTTTTGATTGGATGGTTTGGCGGAACCCCACAGTTCCAAACCGTATGCCCAAAGTGGTCGCAGTAAAGTCATGTATAAGGTCAGTTTAGTGCTGATGGTCAACCCGGATTTTGGTCCTAGTAGTGTGCGTAATTGTCCAAGTCTTCTGTTGAGTTGTTGTCTTTTAAGTCTTGTGTGAGGATTCCACGTCAGCCTGCTATCAAGGTATAGTCCTAGATATTTGACTTGAGTGGAAGTCGGTATCTCTTCATTGTTGATGTATAGTGGAGGGCAAGACTGCTTTTTCGAAGTGAACGTACATTGGATGCTCTTTTCTCCGTTTAATATTGTCTTCCACTTTTTACACCAACCTTCGATCAGCTCAAGGTGTTCTTGGATATTCGAGGTAGCTTGTGTAAGATTCAAGTTAGAGGACAAAATTGCGGTATTGTCCGCGTAGGTGGTAACGATGGTATTGGGGTGAGTAGGTAGGTCAGCAGTATAGATGGTATGGTGTTTACATAACAATTCGAAGAAACAATTAGTCATAAAATCGTCGATTGTTAATTTGTAATATTGGATTATTGGCTGATCCGTAAACTTGGCATCTGTACATGAAAATAGGTTTGAGTAGGTATGTCAAAATAATTATGATCATTCAGAAGGTAGTAAAATGTATTAAATAGTTTGTTGAGGGCCCGTTTTTGTAATCGTGTGTGCAGATGGTTCATTTTATAAGTATATCCTAAGACGTCTGGCGGAGTGTAAAGGTAATGTATTGAGGCTTTTAGGAGTACAACTTTATTTTCCAAAGATTGCTTCATTTTTCAATTGTTGACATGTGGTTTGGTAACTTGAAGGAATCTTGGTAGAAGAGGGACGACTTGTTAATATGGCTGACATTGGTGAATATGGCGGCAGTCTGATTTTTGGGTATGACAGGCATAAAAATTGTGTACAGCGGACCAGCTATTGACCGCTAGTACTTCCTTCATCTCAGAAGTCTCTGATTCTTCGACAAAAATCTCCTAGATGAGTGATTATACGATCAGATAAAAGTCCTGGAGTAAAAATTGTTCTAATTTGTATAATAGCCTCTCATGCTATTATCACTTTATCGATATGTTGAGAAACATGTAAAAACATTCCAGTCGGAGAGAGTTTCTGTTAGAGACGTGAAATAATGTAATCTATAACTTTGTAAAGTTGATGTGTAGTGGAGTGATGTGCTCGAAAACCAAATTGATGTTCCGGCAAGACGTTGTTCAAAGTAGCAATTGAGATGGTTCTAATAATTAAAATTATTAAAATTTTGGTTAACCTATCCGAGCACTTTTATTTTTTATTTTGGCGTGCATATGTATAAAAAACAAACATCAGACATTGGAAGATTATCTGGAATGATCAATCTATAAACGGCGGATTAGTTAGAGATCGATATGAATATATAACTAAAAAAAAAATATTTACATTATTAACAACCGATAATAATAAACATTAAAGTTAATATCCGTCAATAAAATGATCAATAAAGTTATTGTATTTAGTGTAGCGCGTTACCTAATTTGACGGGAAAATGAAATAAACTGAATAATGGCACTTACACTATGTAAAGGGTGCCCTTTTTTAGAGGACCGGCTGAATTTCCCTTGAACTATTGAAACTCTCAACAAAGCAAAAAGTACGCCTTTAATATGTTTTTGCCTAGTTTCAAATTTCTACTTTTTAGTTTGTTATTTATGAATATACTTTATGTTCGAACTGCCTGCCTTTCGGAAAGATGCAAAGATTTGCTCTTTTTAATCATTCTTCACCGGTGTTCAGAACCATTGAGTCAGGGGAGACAAATTGACAAACATTTCTATCCTTTGCCGCAGTCCTTCAACTGAAGTTGCTGGATTATGATTGGCGAAGACACTGTTTTTTCAATGGCCCCACATAAAATAGTCAAGTGGAGTTAAATCGGGTGACCGAGGAGACAACAGATTGAGCCATCAGGTCGTGTGTTCGAGGCATCTGCTGGAGAATCATTCTTTATCGTTATTGCATAGGAACATCAACATATAGTGCCGATGAAAACTCCCTCAAAAAATTGAGTAACTGAGCACCATTTAATTTATTTGCGTAGAAATAAGACCCAATTAATTTCATAAAAATCCACACAAAAAGGCATTTCCTTTGTTTTATTATTAGTTCCAATAATACGGTTCTTCTACATTACTTGCCTTTATTGTTTAAATTCGATCATTGTTGTTCAAAGTCGGGGTTATGAGAGCAAATCTTAATTCCTCGAACTAAACAAATTTTACATTCGTAAATAAGACCCAGAATAACCTATGGATCACTAATCTGGTGGAACAAAGCTCAACAAAAACTAGCTACCCAAACATTAGGCAGAATACAAAGACCAGCAAACCTATGTATCACAGGGGCAATGAGAACAACCCCTACAAATGCATAAGAAACTTTGCTAAACCTACCTCCACTGGAAATATTCATACAAGGAGAGGCTAGGAAAAGCTCACCTCCAAAAATAATTAAATGGGAAAGGAACTAAACAATTCGGGCATACAACCATAATCAACAAAATCAGACACCCATTATTAGAACTGGGGACTGGCTACATGATCCTGGAAACAATCTTCCCAACTTCCTATAAAGTCTTAACGGACTATAAAGGAGAGGAAGAAAACAGGAGAATGATATGATACACAAATGGCTCCAAAACAAACGAAGGAACCGGATCGGTCGTTTTCTGTACAAGCCCAAAAAATGACGAGTCAAACTCATTAGGCAAGTACACTTCGGTCTTTCAAACAGAAATACATGTCATCAATGCTTGTCCCCTGGAAAATCTTAAAAGCGGTTACACTGAAAAAAATCCTCATAAGATCAGATAGCCAAGCAGCCATTAAAGCATTAGCATGCAATAGAATCACATCAAAATTAGTCAGTGAATGCATCGAAAATCTCCGAAACCTGGGGAAACACAACAACCTGATATCTTGGATGCCAGGGCACAGGGGAATTTTGGGTAACAAGAAAGCAGACAGACTGGCCAGAGGAGGATCTCCAAGATTATACACAGGCCCTGAACCAATTCTTGGGATAACAAGAACAAATATAGAATCCTCCATTGCAGAATGGATCTGAGCAAAACAAAAGGAGAAGTGGATAAACTCTAGCGGTGCTAGACATAGTGAACTTATGATGAAACAACCCTCACCGAGACTGGCAAAAACACTGCTGCAATTGGAGAGGGCCAAATTCAGAGGAGTGGTATGACTACTAACCGGTCACTGGCATCTGAGAAAACATCTACACAATATGGGTATATACAGCGATGATCCCATTTGCAGATTATGTAATGAGGAGGAAGAAACAGCCAGTCATATCATCTTCGAATGCGAAGCAACAGCTCAATGAAGGTTTAACCTAACATACCGAAAAAACTTAGGGAATCCAGCGATGGTCA